GAACAAACAGCGGGTACCTGCCGCGGTGGTCTATATTGCTTATGGTGCTCGGCTGCTTGGCTGCAGGTCGCGGGTTCAAATAGCAGTCGCGGCGGTCACATTTCCTATGGAGGCGAAAATGTTCGCAGCCCATGTATTTAGATTTAGTGCCACCGTAAAGAACCCCGGGTGGTCGAAATTTTCACAGGCGTCTATACCATGGCACTCCTCAAATTCATAAGGTTGTTTAAAAATAATAAAATTGTTTACTGCTACTCAAAATCATATCCTGGATTTGGGACGTTAAGATCCAACAATGATAGAATGTTATAAAAATAAGTAACGAATAATAAGTCAAGGGGTCAAGGAGAGAGCGTAATTTTGACTGCATCAGACAGTCTAAATTTTTCTTTCCTCTCGACACCTGTCTTCTTCATTTCTTCGCGCTAAATGGCCATAGTATTTGTGGCCTTGTGTGTTTAAAAATTAACCTAATATCTCAGAAACGGGCTATTCGGGATGATGTAAACGAGTATACGTTAGGGTGAGACAATGAACACGGCTGGCCCCACTTTCGTTCGTTTAGATTATTTATACAAAAAAAAAACTCCCTAGGTTGAATGGACTATATAGCAGATTATGTCTCACCACTCATGTATTGATTCAGGTGCAGTAGTGAATATATATATATATATATATATATATATATATATATATATATATATATATATATATATATATATATATATATATATATATATATATATAAATACCATCAGTCCCTATACTCTTCTGCGAAACGCACTGCTACAAAAAAAAAGAAAAGCGATATAGTATAGCGTGCGCGGTTTAAAACCAAAAAGCAATAGCTTGGTGTGAGAAAAGGGCCACATTTGCGAGAATTCGTGTACGTATGATACGTGGTAGAAGAGGAACAGATACGCCCTTGGACGTTTCGGTTCGGCTGAAATCGGATAACCTCCGCCGTATATGACGGTTGTGCGAAGATGAGATCTTATAAACCGCTTCCTTTTTCTCACAGTCGTGCCGTGCAAGTCGGAAGCGCAACGCCGGTGCGGTTCCTATACGTCGTCATTTTCACCGAGCTGCTGGCGTTTTCACCGTACGCGAACGCTAAGACCATTTGACGCCGTTCGCGTCGAAGGAAACCTGAAGAGAGGTCCGGCACGTTTACACTGTACTGGGCTGCCGACGTCACAAGGCGCTTCTCATATATGTGTTTCCGATCGGGACCACTACGTGTTTCACGTTTGATGTAGTCCTTGGTATGGTCGCTGAATCAGCAGTTCATTAATGCCCTCATATATTAAACCAATCCTTGTCATTGGGCCTGATGCCAGCGAAGGAGTAACTGACATCGCACTTAATGCTAACTTTTCCCGTATGCACATTTAATAATACCATACTTAGCCCCGCCGCGGTGGTCTAGTGGCTAAGGTACTCGGCTGCTGACCCGCAGGTAGCGGGTTCAAATCCCGGCTGCAGCGGCTGCATTTTCGGTGGAGGCGGAAATGTTGTAGGCCCGTGTGCTCAGATTTGGGTGCACGTTAAAGAACCCGAGGTGGTCTAAATTTCCGGAGCCCTCCACTACAGCGTCTCTCATAATCATATGGTGGTTTTGAGACGTTAAACCCCACAAATCATTCAATCAATACCATACTTAATAAGTGCACCAACGGAACTGCACATAAGGCGCCTTTTTATTCACTCTGCGTTTAAAGTAGCGCGCGATCGCTGCCCTCGAAATGTGTAAGCGATGACGGCTATGAGGAAGCAATTCAATCAGAAACAGAAAGCCAGATGTTAACCAGAAATGTGTTCGTCCGGCAATCCTGTACGGGAGGAATAGTTTTGGTAGATGCGTGGAAACGTGTAAGTATCTAGTGTTTGCTTTACGTCAACATATACACTCTAGAGCGCCAATCGCGTTGCATGGCTTGTATACCTGGTAACAGGTATAATTCTACGGTGGTATCATTGCGCAATGTGGAAGACGCGAGGCGGCGAAGATCGATTACGTTGTGCCCATATAGGCCATCAATCATTATATTGGTGCGCTCACAGACATGAACTACCTCGTATACTTAGCGATTCTTTTTGAGCGAAAAACATGACCCAACAGTGAGCGTGAGAAACTCATGCGTTCATGATACGAAAATAATTAGTCGCACAGCCTCACTGACTCGCTAAAACGAACACTCCTTTCTCTACAATTCGTTACGTGAACTGCTTGCTCAGTACATTCTTCTTTCGTTAACTCATCAGTGAGCGCAGCTTGATCGCCGTCGCCATGCTCGCGAAGCTGCACAGTCACTGGACGGAATAAAGACCATGTGCCGCGTAAACCATGCGACATGCTTGTAGAATATTAGAGAAACCTTTACACCCTCTCCCACTAAAGGGAACCATGTGCAGATGCGAAACAGCGGGCGCTATCACTTACACTCGCGGCAGCGTTCTCGCTCGCTCATAGCGGCGTCATCATTCTGCGGTTCAACCGACTGAATTCACGGTAAAGGTCAAATAACAGTAACAACAGTAACCTAAGGTTGCTGAAGCTTCACGTGCCAAAACCGAGGTACGATTAATTAAAGAGGCTTGATTAGTGTGGTACTCCAGATTGCTTTTTACAAACTCGGATTTTTCAACGTGTACCCTAATCTACTAAATATACGCTAATCTACTAGTCTACTAACTCGCACCCGTCGGAATTCACCCGGAGTGGCCGAGAAACGAATCCGCCACATTCAGCTTATCACTGAAACATCATATGCGCTAAGTTACCACAGCAGGTAAGATCCGAGCAGCAATGCGCAACACAACAGAACTCTTTTGTGTTAAAGAGACACTAAAGGCAACTACTAAGTCGACGTTGATTGTTGAAATGACGGTCCAGAAACCTCGTAGTATTACTTTTGTGCCAAGGAAGGACCTATTTTGAAACAAAATTATGTTTTAGTGGTCCGCATGGGGAAAGCGCACTTCAATTTACCCGTTTCAAGAAGCAGACCGACCGGACCGACTCATGTCACTGTTGCCGTGCACAACGTTACCCGGCTTTACAGCGCTGGTAGCAGCAGACCGAAAGTAGCGGGCGCCACAGCAGCAACAACGGCCATTGATCGATTTCCCGCAATTGGCTTCGAAATTGCAGACGTTTTTGTTTTGAACTGCGCCCCGCTTGATGGCAGCACGTGTCCCATGTAACCACGCGAAAATTGAATTTTCGAACCACTTGCGCCATTCCCCATAGTAATGTCCGACGGTTCTTTTTTCCATGAATCAAATAGAAACGAACAAGCAGCATTTTATTGCGTCTCTTGATGCACGGAAGGTTCTTTATTTAGAGCAGTTAGATTCGACTACTTAGTGATTAATTGTAGGCGGTCCGTCTGATGTCATCGGGATCATTTTAAAACTTCCCTACTGCGACGCTCGTGTTCTTCTGCATTTACCTTAGTTTCTCGATAAGTACGAGGAGGTGGTTGTAGTCGTTTTAGGTGTTGTCATACATTGAGCTGTCACTCTGACGTAAATTGTCATTTGACTTTAGTGTCCCTTCAAGTTTGCCTCGATAAGTGTAGCGTAAGCAAAAGCTAGCGTCAGAACAAAAGAACGCAATGCATCCTGAAGGTCTACGCACGCTTCATGGTGGTTATCTTCGCACTACAGAAACGCATGTTTCCAAGCTCTCTGCAATTCTGATGGGTGTACTACGGACGCGCAGGGTCACCGCGACCACCTCACCACTGTGTTTTACACACATGAAAAGGGGCGCCCTCGTTCGGCGAAACCCTTTTGCTCTGTGCTCTGCGATTTCGAACGTTTTACTTGGCTACCGTTCGACGTGCCGCCGGTCGCGTATGCATCCTCGATGCTTATCTTCACATCCTTATCCTGGAAGTCGTGTCTTCTTGTACGACCGCCAGTGGGGGCTGGCAGTGCAGGAGGTTGTGTACGAATATATATATTGACAGGTTTGCAGAGAAAGCAGCAAATGGAAACATAATGAAAGAGTGGAGGGAATGCGAACTGCCCGCCGGCCGACTCGAGCTCCTAGGGTGCGCCGTGAGAGCGGGGGCAATGGAAGAGCCGGTGGCAGGTACGAGAGGGCGGCTCTGACGGAGACCGGAGGAGAGTGATTGCACGGAAAGGAAGAAGAGGGGTGGTGTGAACGTAGTCAATGTCTCAGAAGAGAGAGAGATGGGGAAAGAAGAGTGAGCGGTGAGTATAACAAGGAGGATAAGGAGAAGAAGAAGGGGCCACTGGCTTCCTTCTCGAATCGCCTGGAATTTCCGGCTGGATGCGACGGTGCGACCGGCCGACCGAAGAGCTCACGTCACTGGGAACGATCTGCTCTCAAACCAAAAAACGCGTTTGCCGTTCGCTCAAACGGGCTTCCTTCTCGCCTCGATCTCTTTCGCAGCGGCACCCACTCCCTCTCCGTCTTTTAGGAACATAGCGAGAATAAGGATCTTCATCATTTTTGTTTCTTTTTCTTTCATTTAATGCCCTCCTCACCCGTGCTCCTTTCATTGCCACCCCTGTACAACCACCGCCACCAACAACAACCCACCTCGGGCCTTCTCTTTCTTCACTCTCCTGTTGCACCTACAGACCATAACATACTTCACGCAACGCCCTGCCGTAGGGCTAAACTCTCTCGCCTTTTCTTCCTCACCGAGTATCATTTGTCTTCTTTGTTTTATCATTCCCACTCTGGCTGGTTTACGTTCGCGTATACTCTTCTTGGTGACGATTTCTCCAGCGCATCATTCAAGAGGACCTCGGAGGCGACGTCTCCCTCCAACGCTTGTCGCCTCCCCCCTCCGTTCCTCTTGAAAGAAGCGACGAACATTGTCGCGCAATCACGTTTCCGTCCTGCGTTCATAACATCTCGCGCGAGCAAGCGCACACCTTCAAACCGCAAGCGGCTCTCCGAAGCGCCAACTCAACGCGGAGTTCGCACCGCCGAGCCAGCAGGTCGCTGCGACTGCGATCACCCCACGTGAAAAGGAACCCGGATCGAACAGACAGAAACGACGGCGGCCGTCCACTAGTCAGGCCGCGAGAAGCAGCAGACAGGCCTGCCAGCCAGATTCCCGCAGTCGCTCTCCCCCGTTCGTTCTTTCCTGGCGGCGAGAGTTGCTCTACCGCTGCCTCCACCCGCCGCCGCAGAATCGTCCGAGGTTGTACCACGCGCAGCCGCTGCCGCGAGTTGCCGCGACCACTTCTTCGCCGTGCTGGTGGTTGGTGCCGGTCGACGTCGTCGGCGCTGCGGGGAGATTGGGACCGGATACCGCCGTGCCGCGGGCATCGCTTCGCCGTAGCTCCACCAACTACAACGACGTCCCCGACTAGTCGTGTGTCCCCGGCTAGTCCTTGGCTAGCAGAAAAGCCCGTAGGAAGTGTTATCTTCAGTGTGCGTGCGTGAAGCCGTGCTTACCTTCATTTCTTCGGCACCGTGGTGGATACGCAGGCGACTGTCCGGTGTCTTGAGAAACAGCTGCCGCAAGTTGGTTCGCTTTCAGCTCAGCCTCCGAGACCCAAAGGCCCATCTTGTGCTTGACCGTCCCGGCCAGCCTTCGCTGTATCTCTGATTGTTTCGATTGAGATTGTTTGCTTCTTCGAGGAATACGCCCTCCGTTTTTGTTTCGTTTTTTTTTTTGTTTAATCTTCTGCGTGTTTTTGAAAGATCTTCGCTTCGTCAGCGGCTTGCCTGCTCCACTCGGTGCACCTGGTCGAGAACACCGCTCTATCCACCGATTTGTGTGTGTTTGTGAGTGTGCGTGTTGTGCCCCCGTGCTTGTGCGCCGTGTGAACAAGAAAAGAAAGTTAAGGCGAGCCATCGTTCCCTGCACCGAGCACCCCTCCTCCTGTTCCCGTGCTCGCTCTAGCGCGGGGGGTCAAGACGGCGGCCCCTGCTCGTATTGTCATCGTGAGAGCATCAGGTGCGTTTTTTTCACACACTAGTTTTCATTGGTTTGTTGGCTCACTTCTTATACCTATTCACTGGTTATACATTCCTGTCCTCGTTGAATGTCTCGGCGACCCGGCTTTCCGATACTTCCATTGAAGCGCGGTCCCGCACATTTCTTGCGCGTGTTTCACATATATTTGTACGTGTAGGCATGTCATTTGATATTAGGGGTAACTGCCTACCTTTGAATGCACACGTTGAATGCACGTCCCCTTGGACAACCGGCTTTTGATGCGCCCGGGGCACATCTGTCCGACCGACTGTAGTGGGGTTTTGTGCAACCGAACTTCTTTTTTTGGTCCTCCGTCTTGCACGAGGTTTTTCAGATGTTGTCTCGGCAATGTTCCCGGCATGCCCTAGTGCGGCAATGTCTCAGCTATGCACGATAACTTCCCGGGACCATATTGTAGGCACTTATTTTTATCGGTAAAAAGACATATTCAAGTGTTGATACAGGGTGGGTGGGGAGGGGGGTGTCTCGTATGTAAAGATTAAACTTAGATTCATTCACGTGCCACATTTTTTGCTGGTTAACTAAAGAGAAAGCTTTCACGACATTTCACTACATACTTAAAATCTTACGTCTTTTATAAGCAGACAGTTGGATGGATATTGCCATCTCTTTCCAATTTGCTGCACACACTTGGTCGAGATAGCTTCGATATAGATCTGTTCTAATCAGAGCTGCCGTTATCGCAAAACTGGATTGTATTTAATAAATGCCGCATGTAAGAGGTGGACTGAAGCAGTTGGCCGTGTAGCAGGTACACCTTCACGGCCTAAACACGCCGCAGAAGAAGTTTTCAGGTAGGATTCCCGCACGAAAGAGAAGCGCCTACGTGCAGGAAATGGAAAAATGATCGCGGATAACCCCCGGCGTTCGCAGCTGAATCAACCGCGCCGGGCAGGAAACGGCCTTCGATATTGCGCGCCGAAGAGACACTTGCCCTTGGCGAAGGGATTGTGGAGATTATCAGCGCTTATACTAATGCTAGCAGCAAAAACAAGCAGTTAACAAGAAAACGAACGATAAATACGAGAGGAAATTACCACTAACTATTGATAAAAAAAGATATCAGTGCCCGGGCTAGTGACAAAAGTGTGAAGGGTCGCCGCGGAATGATTCGATTGTTCGCGAAAGTGTTCGCAAGACAGAAATTTGACAAATCATTGCGCTGGATGTGTCAAGCGCGAAGCCGCGTCGATCAGCGGCGAAAGGAGAATTTTCGTTAACTGCCACATGGTTACGTAAAACGGATCACAGTGAATTCAATGTTGTAGGTGTGCACGACGTTCTACACAGTATGATAATGGTCGATACCTTGCGTATTCACGTTCAATGCAATGGCACACAGAAACGAACCACTTTGTGCGCTGTCGCAGCAGTCGAACTACACTATATTGGCAAAACTAAATTAAGAAAAAAAAACTTTGGTCCAGTACTTCGTATAGATGGTTAACAAGCGAAGCTGAAACGTACAGCCTCGGGGTTTATCATTGAGGCCTAACCTTGACGGTTCAATGAAGTCTCTCTCAGTTATTGATTACATCTATCCTGAAATTGTAATGTGAGTTGGCCGCCAGTGTGTTCATTTCTTCATTTTTAGTTGACCAGTTCTCAGTAGTGGAGCCTGCCCGATTTCTGTGGCGCATGTGCGCTACGAGTTTTTGCACATATGGAATGAACGACTGTTGGTTTGATTGGTAATCTCCCTTTGGCAATTCCTACATAGCGTAGCGATTACCTCTGAACTTTACGGTCTTCGGGCTCCGTTTTTTTTTTTTAGTTCCTGTAGTGAGTCAAACAAAAAAGACATGCGGAACGCAAACAACACAGCAACCAATGGATGGAAACAGCGCACTCTAATAACCGCTAACGACAGTTCAGCTCCAAGCAACCATTTTTGGCGAAGAGTCCTTCTGTCACGTTCGCATCATCGTCTACACTTATTCTACCTTGGCGTCTCTCTTGCTTCGCCACTGGACTTCGTTTACCGGAAGTCACGACGCCATTGCTTTGTACCTCCTTTTTTTTTTTTTTTGCAAATCTGCGGGAACAAACGACTTCCTTCATCGCTAGGGCCTTTCCTTCCGCCTTTGTCGCCTCAAACGGCAATCTTTCGGATGGGATATCAGAAGCGAGAAGTATGAAAAAGTTATTAAAAAAGAAAGCAAAACGCGGGGACCGGACAGGTGTAATTGCATAATTGGTCTCACTTTGGTGTGCTTAGACTGTGAAGCGGACCACATCGAGGGTCAGCTTATCACACGTATGAAACGTCATGTGAACCAAGTGAACCATTGTATCGCTACGCTAAATTGCTATCATTGTGGTAGAAGTAGTAGTAGGCCTAGTAGTAGTAGTAGTAGTAGTAGTAGTAGTAGTAGTAGTAGTAGTAGTAGTAGTAGTAGTAATAGTTGCAATATCACATTTAACTGATTAGTTTATACCTTAGCGGCACTATGCTGCGCGCGTGCTAATATGAGCATCAACTTGTATGGCTTTCTGGTCGGATCAACTAACGGTCAAGTCAGGATCCCAATATATTTTCTTCGATGCAAAAGGTTAATCATCGAGTCTGGTTAAAGCAAACTTGAGCGTCTAGCGATCTCTATGGAGACCTAAACAAGTTCGCAAAAGATCGTAGATAGTCTCTTCAATCTTACACTGAGGGCAACACTGGTGAATCTACCATTATGTGGTGCGATAGAGTATATACATGCAGGAGTAGGTACACCTGTAGATTGAGCGATAGCTTCACGGCATGACACGACACAAGTACCAGTAGTTATGGGTAAATATTAGTTAAGCTTTCTACGTGTGCTAAATAAAACATGCATAACTGCGTGTCAAACACAGTACGCGTGACGTCAGGCAGGCGCTGTGAAAGGAGTTAAATGGGGGCACGTTGTATAGCACGATTGCGTTATATTGCAAAGTTGTCTTCTGGAAAACGAACTCTTTTTTTTGCCAGGTTTTTTTATTATTTCTTTCAATTTTCCTCTACGCTTCTTTACGTGTTCATTTTTGTTTCTAGGTAACTTTCTTTTTTTTTCTTTCTGCACAGCCGAAGTCACAGAAACGGAGTATCCGAGTTGCTGTAAACCTCAACATCTCTGCTGCTGGCCTGTTAGAACAAAATGGGGCAGAGAAGAACGCAATGTTATGGAAATCGGTGGGACTTCAGCCGTCATTAACGACGTGACGTATAGACTTGACTGACAACGACGATGAAAAAAAAAATGCGTGTACAATGCGTGAACTATGTTTAATAAAATGGAAAAGAAATAAACAACGGAAGCGGTAAACAAAAATATGGTACAATCTGAATATAAACAAAAAAACGTCTTACGGTCATCCACAGGAGATAATTTGCGTGACCAAAGAAATCCAAGCAGCGCAGTCGTCATAGACGAAAGTATGGGTCCTTCAAGCGCGAATTCTGATGCACTGTCGACGAATGTGTCAAATTTACATAACACAGTTTCAATAAGGCTCTCAATATTACGTTCCAAGAAAAAAACGTAATGCGTTATTTTGTGTGAGTTTGAGCAATTACTTGTAATTCGTATGCAATCAAATGCTTCATCATTTTGTGGTCAGTCATGTTTCGTTTTGACGTAAAAAGGATGAAATCATAAGCTCCTGATGTGTGCACTATTAGTTTTTTGTTGCATAAATTTTGAGGAGAGAGAGAGCGAGATAAAGATGCAAGGAAAGGCAGGGAGGTTAACCAGGCGCACATCCGGTTTGCTACCCTGCTCTGGGGAAGGAATAAAGGGGAGAAAAGAGGTTTGAGGAGAGAAAAGTAATACCTTTGATGTTGGATCTGGGGGATGCGGCTTGTCGAATGACCCATCGAAAATTGTAGCGCCTTCACCAAAGTGTAAACCGAGGACAAGTGAAGTCCCATTGACACTGCAGAAGGTTCAGTTCATTCAATGAACAATTCATTTTTTGTTATTTTTCTGGCCGCAAGCTGACAAAAGCTATGGCGTAAGCGAATCGCGCACACAAACGCAGCCACCGCCGCTGACGGGTGCCAGCTCATATTGCATTCATTACAGTTCGTTCGATTTGACTAATGTGCGACCTCGGCGCCTGAGAGATGCGGCAACGGCGGAAGCGGTGAGTGGTCCACGGCGTCGGGCCGTGACGCTTGTATACCTGGGTCGTGCGTGGGACGTTTCGCAGGAACGGTGTCTCCTGTGACGTAATAGCCGGGGAAACGCAACAACGGGGGACGCATCGAGAGTGTCTCTCGGTATAGCGGTAGTAATGAAGAAATAACTAAGAGGAAGGAAGGAATCGCGTTGAACTTCCGTCCAACATGATACGAAGTTTTTTTTTAATATTACTTTATCTTTTACATTTTCACAAATGCAACGTTAAATCGTCTATTTAAATTTCGTGATAAGTCATTGACCCCGAGTTTGAGTTAGGCCCGAACGACGACGCCCTCCGAAACGGAGCGGAAAACCCGCTGGGCGAGCTTGTCGGTTTGCGTTTCCAGAGTAACATAATAAGCTCTTCTTGTTCTTCATTGGGTCGTATCAGGATGACCTGAGTGGTTTGGCAGAAAGTACTCGATTGACACGCTTTGCCCCGTCTCGTCGTCACTGTGGGAATTTACAAACGTCCGCGTTTGCTTTGAATCTCTAATATCCAATAAAATAATATTGACACTAATATACAATTATTTTTAAGTCCCATAGGGCCTGCACAGTCAATTATTCATGTAGCGTTTATTGGCACATGCGCCTCACTCAACAGAAATAAATAAATAAATAAATAAATAAATAAATAAATAAATAAATAAATAAATAAATAAATAAATATCCTGACATCCCACGAGTCGGTCAAAGTTATCGCAAGAAACCTGTTATGAAATGTGACGGTAACGAGATTATACATGCTGTGCCGTCTGGAAAACCTTAGCTTTGCAAAGTTACCTTAACGTCTCCATGTGC